GTGATGAGAATTTAATATAATGGGACCCGCTTAGTAATAACTTTTCACCTTGGATAAAGTAATTGTAACTTGTGTACAATCGTTATGATTGGACCCATGTAATTAATTGTGATAGTAGTTGTATTTTTATTTATTGAAGGAAAATGTTCCCTTTACTAACCACCTGCATGCTGACTGCTTCATTGTGAAGGAAGAGATCACAGACTGGAGAATTGCCTTTTAATTTTTTTTAAGGTGTTTGTTCCTGTTGGACTTGCGCATCTTGTTCTCTTACTTCTCTCCACTCTTAAAGAAAATTCTTTTTCTTAGAATTGAGATAGTAACAGACTGAAGTTCAAAATATTAATGAGCAGATCTCCTCTTGTTTACCACTAGATCTATTGATTCTTTGATTCTCATTATTAATCTATGGCTGTATTAATCCCATCAGCTGGGTTCAACATTTGAAGTTTTCTCCAATTTGCCGTAGTTTAGGGTCAATTCTCGTCTTAAATAGCTGAGTTTTGTTTTTACTATATTATAGTGATGCTTCTGCAGATGAACACGGAACTACTCAAGCAAAAGGCTGATATGATAGAGGAGTACTTTTGCATTCATATAGATAAAGATGGAAATTTGTCTAGGCTTCCAGTTATACTTGATCAATACACACCTGACATGGATCGTGTCCCTGAATTTGTGCTTTGTTTGGGCAACGACGTAAGTTCTTTTTTATTTTCTTGGTTATCAAGATTTTCCCATATTTATAACCATATTGGTTTGTGTGGTGATTCTGACGCCTTATGCTTTGGAAGACAACAACAATACACACTTCTGATGAAAAACATCCCTATTAAATTCAAAATAGATTGGCGGTAGGTGGAGAGGATCAATATTTTCCATATGGGATGCTAAATACTTAATTCGGGGGTTTATATAATTGCTCTCAACTGCCTCTTAATGTGTTACAGATTGAATCAAACTTGTGGGTTGGTTAATATTTGGTGACATGGAGTAGTAAGAGTGAAACTGGATTAGACAAGCCGATGAATTGTGTTGATTTGTGCCAATAAATTTGGAGACCCAGACATACTGGGAAGTGGGTAAAGAGCCTAATAATTTTTGCCACCAAAAAAAAAAAAAAAAAAAAAAAACATAAAAGGAACAAAGCCTTCCGATTTTGAGTTTTTTGTTCTCTACAATCTTTACCTCTTCAACGTGTACAACACACACAGCTTCCATGAAAATGACCATATCTCCTCTTTCTTTATTATTAATTTAAGTTGAATTTTTTGGGTCACGTCATGATTAGAAAGTAAATAAAACCAATTGATATTTGAATGATTTGATCCAGGAGTTCCGACCATAACCTGATTGGTTGGTATTGAATTTTTCGGAATGTTAGTCATTCTTTTATGTGGCTTATTAGAAATTTTTTTTTTTGGGACATAACAATAGGATCACAACGATGCATTTATTAATGAAAAGGAGCTTTATTAAGAGTTCACGTGTAACAAAACTTTCCTGCATTTTATGTGACTAACATGCTTCAGAATTGAGTGTTTATGTCGATGTTCTTATCTTGGAGGGACATGTCAATTGTGAGGTTACTCTTGAGCATCCATTTTTCTTTGTTAAGTTAAAATGCAAAATAATCTGAAGTAGTATTTTCAATGTGACACACTGATGAGGAGACTATATAGCTGTCCTATTACTTTTGATATTCCCTATCTTTGCTGAGAAATGTAAATTTTTTGGTGCTTACTTTAATTTTCCGTTTATTTTTTAGGTTGACTGGGAGGAGGAAAAAAAATGCCTTCAAGTAATTTCAGCTGCACTTGGAAACTTCTATGCCATGCATCCTCCTATGTTGCCCAACCCATCTGGTGATGGCTTGCAATTTTACCAAAAGAGAAAACCTTCCAGGAATCCTGAAGAAAGTCTTTCTTGCAGTACTGGTATGTCTGTTTGCAGCTGGATCTCCACATCTCTGTTTAAAGAGTCGTAATATATTGATTTCCTTTCAGTCTTATAAAGTGATTTTTAATTTTTAGAAGTTAGTTTGTGCATGATGAAAAAAAATGTTTTAACCTTCCATCAGATGTATTTAGAATTATTTAAGTACAGCTAGAGATATTCAGAAAGAATCTGAGCCAAATCATGTGTCAAGATCCAGTGGGAATGACATATGGCTAGGGATTTCAAGAATGAAGAGAACTGATATATTGGAGGCTGATGAGGAATCTCGAGCGGTGTGATTAAAATCAATAAGATGAACATATTGAAGATTATTTCCCAAAAGTTGACTTTGCTTTTAGTGCTCAAGTCAGTAATCATGACAGATTTTTTAGGAATACAAGGCAAACTCCCACCAAGTTAGGGTGAAAAAATATGGTAACACTAGCAGCACATTCATCGTCAATTTGCAAATCTGCGTTCACAAAATCAATGATCTCGAGGCATCTTAAAAGTTTTCTTTTGATCTTCTGAAACCTCATAACGTTTGCAGTTTATTGGTACTAAAAACTCCAGCCAGTTACATGGGGATCTCCAGGCGTATGATAGATAGTAATCACTAATCAGCACTCAGTCTCTCTCTCTCTCTCTCTCTCTCTCTCTCTGTGCTTGTATTTGTCAGAACAAAAACATACTTGAGCATTAATTTCATGCAATTGGAATCAATTAAATAACACCAATCCGAGCTGGAGTGCTTTTTTTTGGTGTGTACAGGTGATGATGTCGTGACAGAAAATGAAATCGAGCATGAACTAGTTGCAGAGGCAGAGACTGCATGGGCCCAGCGCGAGTGGTCTATCCAGCATGTTTTGTTTCCATCAATGAGGCTCTTTTTCAAGCCACCAAATTCTATGGCTACAAATGGAACATTTGTCCGGGTAAGCTGCATTTCTTTAAAAGTCTATGACATACTTATTAATTGCTTCTAGATTCTTCAGATAAAGACTAAACTTAAACTTCTTAGTGTTCAATTGTCAAGAATCTGTTTTTTTTTCTTTTTTCGTATGTAGACGACATCTCCCTTTTATACATATGACCATCTGTGTTTCACTATTGTTATCTATTATTGTCTAGTATTATTTTTTATATTTTTATTATTAGTATTACTAATTTTATCATTATTGATGCTGTTGTCACTAATTTTTTATATTATAAATTCTCGGTTTGTTGGGGAAGTGTTGTTTTGTTTTTTCTTATATTACCAAAAAAAAAAAAAAAAAACATATTTTCATTAAAGAGGAACAGAACAATATAGAAGATAAGTTGTCCCTGGTCTAGCTAGAAGATGATAGCTCACCGAAACAAGACAAACAGCGAAACATAGCTAAGCAACAAAGATACATGGATGCAGAGCTACAAAAATTAGTGCTTAATGACATCCGTTTTGTAATTGAAATGATATGGGAATCTTGCAATTTGTATATCTGAAAATCGAGGATATCCTTTGCTTTTTGTAGGTAGCTTCACTCGAGAAACTATACAGGATTTTTGAAAGATGCTAATGCCACTGATCAGCGTCATGACAGAAGATAGTGCAGAGGAGGGTCATGTTTACAGGCTCATGCGTTCAGCATACTTTCAATGCACTACATGGTTCCTTATGCTCACAGTAATTGGTTTTGTACAGGACTCTGGGTTTGGTGATATTAAAATTTTGTGAGAAAACACCAGTCAGGAGCATTGTTTTCCCTTCAAAGTGGTGTATATTATAATTAGTTTAAAATCTATAAAAATCCTTTTTGAGTTTTGAAAGTGGCGTTCATCTGTGTTTCATATGCTTGTAACCCAATTTTTGAATGGGATTGAACATATCATCCTATTCGGCTGTTTTATGCTAGGATACACTTAGCTTCATTAGAATATAAACCACAGGAGCCGGCGAGGAGATTGTAGCTCGAGTGGTTAGGAACATTCACTTAAGTTTTTTTCTTTTTGACTTGACTAGTGCCCAAAAGTAAATCAAAGATAGTCCTCAATGTTCCGAATTAAAGCATGGCTAATGCAAGAAATAAGATGGCTGAGGATGGTACACGGAACTCGCCTTTTCAATTTCCTTGAAATTATTCAGAAAATGAACCACATAATATATATATTCCAAGAGAACTCAATAAACTGCTTAAGGGGTAGGAATTTCTCATACCTGGACTTACCAAACATGAGAAAGCAATTTGATTTTCCATCTCCAAGTCTCCTTTCCCATGAACCAAATTGGGCATTGATATGATTGTAAACAGTTAGTGAGTTAGGTGTGCAAAGCACGTGAGTTGTTAGTAGTGTATGTGAATTAGTTAGATAATTGTATGAAGTGTAATAGTACTGTAGCTTAAAAGATTAAGAAATACAGAAATCAACATTGCAATTCTTATACAAAACATGCACTTTTTTTCGTTACTGCCATAAAGTAAACAAACTAATTACACAAACTTTCATTCTCAAAATAACCCATCTGTCAATACAACCACAAAATATGAAATTTTGTTTTTTCTTCTGCAAATATCAATTAAGGCAGAGTCTTCACACGAGGTAGAATTGATATTGGTCTTTTGATAACAAAATTCCTTTATTTTATTTTTCAGAATCATACTTCATTAAAACCGGGAAAGGAAGGAACAACAAGGTAGAAGCCCAAACAAGAAATTTTTGTATTTTTTGGGTACACAACGTGGCTGGTATGCTATCCAATACACATGGGACATGTGAAAATATTTTATATTATATGTGTATTAGACAATATTTCCATATGTTCTATATGTATTGGATGGTAAATTAGTCACATGGTGTATTTGCAACTTGCAAAAGTTACTCCAAAAACAGGTACATATGAGACAAATTTAACTAAACAGATAATAAAATCTCTTTCTTCATAAGAAGAACAAAAGTGTATATGAAAAAACTTTATAAAATTAAGTTCTTTTTTGTAAAAGAAGTGTAGGACTTAAACATCCTTATTAGCAATTAATAGAAAAAAACAAACAAACAAAAAGAAGCACCAGATCAGATTTGACAAACAAAAAGAAGCACATGATCAGATTTGACAAACGAAAAGAAGTTTGAAGTATTCCTGATGATAACAAAAGAAGAATTAATTTTTGAAACAAGTTACGAATGGATACAAGGGCGAGAGGCTCATCTTCCAATTCATACAAATCAAGTTCCGAATGGATATTTCCCTTCACAAGTTTGTCCCATTCTAGATGAACCCCTATCCTCTTAACCATCACAAAATCAACTAGAGGCCTTACAAGATTCGATACGTGGTCACCGCCTTCCAAACGGAGCACATCGTCTGACAAATGTCCCTGCCAAAGAAATCAAGTTTGCAATTTCTCTCTGTTTCTCTTTCCTTCTTCTTCAGGTATCTTCGTCATACTTCTTTGAATATGTTGGTTAACATGGTATCAGCGCCCTCAATGCTTCTCTCTGTTTCTCTCTCTCAATTTCAATTCTAGGGTTTTCTCTCTGCTTCATCATGGGTTATTTTTCATCCATCAAGATTGTTGGCTTGCTCAGTATGGTTACCATTCGTCTCGGTGACAACAATTTCTTGAAATGGACTCAATGCGAATTGTTCATCCACAACACTCGATTGATCAGTTCGAACAAATGCGTCATTGCTCCGTCCTGCTCCATCATCCGGCAGTGCGTCATGGCTCCGTCCTGCCTCATTACCAGTTCCCCCAAAAAAATCTAGATATGGTTCCACTGCTAATTGTTCATGTATAACACTGCCCCTGAAAAATGCGTCATCAACTCCCCCTGAAAAATCCGGATTTGTTTCCAAATCATACAAATGAGGATCCGGATTATCCATATTTTCCTTCATGACTTTGTCCCATTCTAGATGAACCCCTGTCTTCTTCACTCTCACAAAATCAACTAGAGGCCTTACAAGAATGGAGACTTGGTCCCCGCCTTGCAAACGTAGCACATCATTTGACAATTGTCCCTGCCAAAGATAACCGTCTTCACGTTCACTCCAAGTTAAAACCGAGCCAAATGCCATCCGGGTGTGCAAAGCAGTTTGTTTGGTAAGATTTCTAACGATAATGCCAATGTGACCTTGATCATACCAATGAAATAAGAATTTTGAGTAAACGAAGCATATAGTCAACCCTTCTAAATCACGACCCATGATTCTTCGAGGAACTTCAAAGAAGACGATATTCTGCACATCATCGTCCAACTCGAACCACTCAGGAATATCATAAATTCCATTGAAAAAAATTCCACCATATCCGGAAGAAGTCCATCCCTATATCATGTAGAGCAAGATTTGTATAGGCATTACATTCTTATTCAAGTGCACGTGCGTATATCACATGCGTCTGTGTGTGATAGAGAGAGAAACAGATTGACCTGTTGGATGTTGTTCCTAAAATCGGCAGTCAGATTGGTGCAGCTTTCCATATGAATCCTTGTCATGGAGTTTAATGACTTATCCAAGCCTGGAACCTCAGTGAGTTTGAACGAATCACTTAGATACAATTCTCTTATATTTGACATTTCTGAAAAATCTGGCATTTTTTCCAATGCAATGCAGCCATCTGCTCGTAAGAATTTCAAATTTGTTGGTAAATCTGGGATTGCATGAAGATTTACGCAGTCATGTAAAGACAAATCTTGAAGCTGTGAAAGACGACTGAGGCTTGGTAGGCTGCAAAAGTAATTGCCGTCAAGATTTAAATGTACTAAGGAAATTAGGCTACCGAGATCCTTGAGGAATGCATCATCAGTTAAACTGCAGTTTGCAAGAGCTAATTTTCTTAAAGAGCTTAAACTTTGCAATGAAGGAAGCAAAAGATTTGTTGATGGCAACCCTTTCACAAGACATAAAACTTTCAGTTTCTTCAATTTTAATATGGAAGATGGAATTTGTCTGATGGCTGTGTAATCCGCTTTCAGAGTTGTCAATGATACCATGTACCCTAAGCCCTCAGCCAAAGTTTTAAAACTTGAACAACAATTCAGTATAAGAGTTTCAATAGACTTGGATTTATAGAAATTCACTGGGAGATCCTTTAGGATTCTGCAACCTTTAAGATTTACCAAAGAAAGTCTTCCAAGATCCCCGATGGATGAGTGAACCTCAGACAAACTCTCACAGTCTTCCAATATCAATTCCTCGAGATTTGGGAGTTTTGAACAGTCTGGTGATTTTGTTAGCCGACGGGAACCACTGAGATTAAGGATTTTCAAATTCTGATGCAACTGTTACACAAAAACAAAATTAGAATGGAAATTAAAATCCAAAAGGAAGGTCTCTGATACAGAAATTAAACCAAAATGAAGAGAGGGTGAAGTATGATATATGTATAGAACCAGAAGGAAAGAACCAGAGAAGTTGAGATTATTATACCTTGCAATCCTTCCAGACTATTTTGAGTTTGCTATGCCGCAGGTCTAAAGCACCTAGTTTTGGTTGCGTAGGAAAGTCATCTGGTATGGACTCTAAAGGAAAATAATGCCAACACAACCATATTAACTTTTTGGGAAAATCTTTGTACTCTCCAGTGAGCTCTACGTTGCTGAGGTGGAGTAACCTCAGTTTTTTCATCTTGGTAAACGCTTGTGCACTGAATCTGTTCAAATCTAGATCTGAATCTACATCCGAATCTACATCCAAATCCAAATGTAGAGCAACTCCTTCAATTTTTTCAGTTCCCTGTTAACAAAAGATACCGAGTTAGAAAAATGATTTACAAAGATGAAAATCCGTGTATGTATTAACCAAAAGGTATAATTAATAGTTTGTGTTTGCAATCAAAGCACATATTTTTTGTTGGTTATGCCAAATTGAGCTTGATCTTAATGGATATAATATAAGAAATGGCAATGGGGTCTAGCGAAGTGAAAAATGGTATAAACTTGCAGACTAAGGTCTTAGGTTCAAATGGCACCTGTGAAAAATGGTATGAACTTACAGACTTGGTAGTGTAGATGTGTAAAAACCCCCTCTTTTACTTTGATTTAGATTATCGTTTGTACTAAACAAAAAAAAATAAAGAAATGGAAAAGGACATTTTAATTTATTATAGACACGAGACACATATGCTTCTCTTGCATGATGCATTCTAAAACTTTACTGGGAAAGTACTTACAGATTCATCGCTCAACACATCTTTTACGTCTTCACGTTTCCATAGTCTACTAAAATTTTCAGGGTGACCATCGGCATTTTCATAAACGATCTCTCTTCCCATGTCTCGAAGCAAATCATGCATCCTCAGCTCGTTTTCCTCACTAACAGTTACAAGGCACCGTTCAATGAGGACACTGATTCCTATCGTTGCAGAAAAGCCACATCCATCAAATATTTGTGTGACATAGTCCCTGTCCATTCCAATAAAGAAACAAGATATATCAAGGAACATCTCTCTCTTTGTATGATCAGGTAGCCCGTCATAGCTTATTCTGAGTATTTTTTGAATATCTCCATCAGGACTTCTTTCCAATTGCTCCAAATGGCTTTCCCACTCTGCTATGGGTCTTTTAATCAGAAAAGACCCCACAACTTCAAGTGCTAGAGGCAAGCCTTGACAGTAACGAATTACACGTTTTGAGAGGTCAAGATATTCTTGATTAGGATAACCACTTTCAAAGGCATGCCAACCAAAGAGCTCTAGAGCTTCTTTTTCATCCATTTCTTGAGCCATATATATGCCATCCACTCCGACTTGCTCTAGCAAATGTTGATTTCTTGTTGTTATAACAATTCTACTTCCAGGACCAAACCAATCACGTTTTCTAGCTATTGCTTTTAG